GATCTTTTCAGAAGCAGATCACCAGGGCTTTCTTCTGAGGTACCTCTGGATAGATACCAACTTTTGTTAGTAGCTGAATGCATAATTGTTTCCACACCCAGAACTCTTAACCTACTTCATGTATGCCATCAAGTCCATTCTGACTCAACGTGACTCTATAGCAGAACAGAATTTTCCCATAGGGTTTCCTGAGCTGCAATCCTCAGAGGAGAAAATAGATGGGTCTATAGAGCTGCTGGTGTGTTTGAACTGCTGACCGTGTGGTTAGCAGCAAAGCACTTAGAATTTTGAAAATTAAGCAAATGAATACAGGGTAAGGTATAAGGACACGTGTGTGCTGCATATTAAAGCTTAATATGCAACCAGCCATTCAAGGCACAACTGGTCTCTCTAGTCACCTGGAGCAATACAAGAAGAATCAGGAATAGGAAGAGAATATGGAATGTGTAGATAACTGCTTTCATGAACAACTAACTGCCCTGCAATGAGACCAGAAGAACTATGGTGCCCAGGAACCATTACTGAAAAATTTGATCAAAGATTCCACAGAAGAATCCTGATCAAAAGGGGGAAAATGCAGAATAGCATTTCAAATTCTCATTGACTGCAGACTTTCTAGAGCCACGGAGAGTGGATGAATCCATGAAACTATTGCCCTGAGATCTTTAAACTTTAAACCAAAAATATCCCCTCAAGTCATCCTGAAAGTGAACAGTTTAGCTTAAACGGTCAAAAAGGTCTGCCTTGAGCTTTGTGCTCTTTTATGAACTATCTATATGGGATCAAACTGACAACAGCAGCTAGAAAAGACTAGATAGGAACCTTAGGGGGCAGTGATTTTATGTCAATGGAGCAGGAACGACTTAGAAGAGGAGGATGAGAATCAACTTGAATAATGTAATCCATGTCACTAAATTGTACATATAAAAACTTAAAAAAAAAATCAGCTCACACTTAAAAATTACAAAATGTAGAAGGAAGGCAATGTGAACATTGAGCAAGCAGAAACAACAGATACCAGAATCAAATTGATGAAGACTGCAGATAGTGGAATTATCAGACACAATATAAATGACGTACAGGTATGTGTCATTTAATGTCCATTTATGTTCTGTGAAATAGGATGTTATGTGATTTGAGCATTGTGTGAATACTGTATTACATACTGGCAGTCCCCATAAAATCCATAGTTAAATCCCCATAAAGCCTATTACATTAAAACCTTATGGAAGCCTGCTGGACAAATCCTGAGAGCTGTATACACAGGATGTAAAAGGCTGGCCTTGCCACGTCTGCAGCTGGGCTGGCAGCTGGATTAAGACTTTGGGCATATCAGGGCCGAGGGTGAAGGGAGAATGGAAGAGGGAAGCATGTGTGTGTCCAGGTGCATGCATATGTGCATGTGCATGTGTGAGTTTGTGTGTGTGTGTGTGGAGAGTGGTCGTAGGGACCAGGTGTGTGTGTGTGTGTGTGTGGAGAGGTGGTTGTAGGGACCAGGTGTGTGGGTGCCATGAGCTGAGCTGGCAGTGGTGGCCATGGCTACCACTGTCCTGTAGGTATGGCCCCTTCCTGAAGCCAGGAGCCTGTGTGTACCTGGGGCCATCCAGCACCCCCAGTACCTATGGTAGGAGCAGAGAAGCTGCATACTCTGAGTAAAAGGCTGCCTAGCTCCTGGGCTTAAAGGGTGAATGAAGCCAGAAGGAGGGGGGAGGAGGCGGTGGGGGGATTGCAATGTGCCCTGTAATCCTGCTGCTTGTTGACATCAGGGGGTTTGAGGTCTTTAAAACCATTACAGGGAAATAATAAAAGAAGAGCTGCTTTCCCTTAAAACAAACAAACAAAAAACATCTTAAGGGATCACAGACATACATGTGGTCAAAAGGACGTTAAGCTGCACATACCTGATTTCTAGTATGTTTAAAGAATTAAAACCAGTAAAATATGATTAAAAGAATTAGACTAAAAATAACCAAGTGTATTTAAAGAAGAAGAAAAAGTTCTAGAAATGAAAAATTATAGGTTCAACAATTAGACACAAGGGATGAGAGAATTAATAACCTATGGGAACATTTGGAAAAAAACAAAATATCCTTTATGCAGCACAGAGACACAAAGAAAGAGAAAATATGAAAGAAGTTAAGAGATCTGGAAGACAGAGTGGAAACAATTTAATATGCCAATGCTGGTGTTTCAGAGGAGAGAAGAAAAAGAAAGATACAGTGACGATATTTGAACAGATAACGGTTGGGAATTTTCCAGTACTGGTGAAACACACTCACCTATACATTTAGAAAGCTCAGTGAATATTAATAAGACAAATAAAGAGAAATCCACAGTTACACACATCACAATTACTGCAGAACACCAAGAAGGAGAAGGAAAAAAAGCTTAATAAATGTTAGCAGTTATTATATATTATTGCTTTTTTACTACAGCTACATTCAACACTATTAAATTCTGTGACCAAAACTATATAGCAAGCTGTCTAATATGATTGATGTTATTCTTTTAGCAACTCCTCCCGCCACACAACTCAACCTCACCGACAGCAACAACTCCTTTTGGGTAGTCTTCCAAACAAGGAGCTACCGCTGTGGTCAATTTCATTTATAAGTTTTTCGGTTGCAATTACATTATGATTTACACTGCCATATATATCCCATCGTGATACTGGAGTCTATCACATTTTTCTTTACTTCGAAGAAACCAACTCAGTGCATTCTAAAACATACTGTTTAAAATCTTGTTCATTTCACTGAAATTAACAACAGATAAATACAACCAGCAACTGTTAAGGTCTCCCGGAACTTGGACAAATGTATGCATTATTATTCTGGCTACTATTTACCGAGTGGGCAAAAAGTACTTTACGTACACTGTATTGCATACATTATTATCTTCACAACATTCTGTGAGGGAAATACATTCATTGACAGGAAACTGAAAAGCAAGAGTCAAGTAACTTAACCTTAAGATTGTATCAGAGGGCGGTGAAGGACAACAAAGCAGATCTAATACTAATTATAAACACTATCATATAATTCTGTCTAAAAAGTCTAGGAAGTAAATTGCCTCAATCTCGCTCTTGAAAACTTTGGCTGTGACAGATCTGTGATAATTAGATTTGACAAGCAGAGACAGAAAGCGCTGGAGGTTTCTCCGCAGTTAAGAAATGACCTGTCGGTAAACTCGAGGGCAGAGCCCGTCGCCTTGGCCACTTTAGAGGGTACGAGCGGATCCACGTCGCTTCCCCAGGGCTAAAAAGGAACCTAGCCGCGCGCGGAGAGGAGGTGGAAGGGCTACACACCTTCCCGCACGCACGACAAGACTGACTCACCTGCGTGGCCGCCAGCCGTTCCCGCACCTCTCGCATCAAGAACGGCTCTAGGCCGCGGCCCGCGGTGCAGAAGAACCTGGTGCCTTCCGCCAGTGGCGACTCCGGCCCAGACCCATAAGGCCCAGCCTCTCCAGGCGCCCCAGACATGGCGGCTCTGGTGCGGCTAGCGGCACCGGGTCACGTGACCTTCCGCACACGCGGCGCACTCCCGCGCTCACAGCGGCGGCGCGCGGGAGCCAGAGATGCGGGAGGTGCTAAAGGTGAGGGAGGAGGAAGGGTAGTGCACCGGAGGATCAAGTCCTGGCAGAGTGCCCTGGAGGAGGAGCCCTCAGAGGGTTTCCTTGGTTAATTACCTAGAACTTTCCTTGATTAGGAATCTGTAATCATTTATCATCACAAGTAAACCAAAAACCAAACCCACTGCCAGGGAGTCAATTTGGACTCATAGCGACCCCCATTGGGTTTCCAAGGTGGTAAATCTTTACAGAAGTAGATTGCCTCATGGGCCTTCAGCAGAGCTGTTGGTAGGTTTGAACCTCCAGCTTTCTGGTTAGCAGTTAAATGCCTTAGGCATGGCACCACCAGAGGTAGAAGGGATAATACAATAGATCAATTAATCCATCTGCTTCATTTTCAGATTGAGAAAACTGACACCCAGAGAGGTCAAAGGACAGCATCTTTAGAAAATACACTGGTTTGCATATGAAAATTCTCAGCCAAAGTCTGCTGAATCGGATGGAATGTGGCTAAGTAAGTGTAAGGTCCCAACAATCTAAGTCCCTGTCAGCTAGGCGGGATTGCTGCAACCACTGTGCCAGTGGGACCCTTTATGAGACCAGGGTAGGGGAGTGAGGGCCAATGGAGGGCACTAATGGGATAGGTTGTTGTTAGATGCCATGCAGTCAGTCTATTCTGACTCAGCAACCCTATGTGACAGTAGAACTGCCCCATAGGGTTTTCTCACCTATAATCTTTATGTAAACAGATTGCCAGGTCTTTCTTCCCAGGAGCCGTGGGTGGGTTCAAACCACAAACCTTTCAGTTAGCAGCAGAATGCTTAATGGTTTCATTTGGGCCAGGAGGGCTCCTAAGGGAGTAGGAGTAAACTTCAAAAGTAAACTTCACAGCTTTGTCTGCTACCTTCCTCTTGCTCATCATCCCCTTTCTCTTCCCCATGTACCTTATGAATAATTTTTCTTAATCTAGAATATTTGTCAGAATCACCTGGGAGTCTTGCCAGTTCCCTCTACTCCTGTATACTCTAGTTGGAAGGCAGCCTGGAAATGGTTTCTTTAGTACGTTCGTTAAATGAACAAATGACTCAATCTGCAATTTTCTTCAATTTACTTGAACGAGCTGTATTGCCTAAACAAATTCATTGTGCCACACAATGTTCTTTTTAACAATCGAGTGGGGTTGGTGGTAGGCCTTAGCCTGTTCTGCCAAGGAAATTAAAGGCCAAATAACTCAATTGCCAACTTCTCCAAAATGTCAGTATGTTTATGCTGTTCTCTGCTTGGGATATTCTTCTTTTCCATGTTTTTTCTTTAAGACTCAGCTAGAATGTCACATCTTTCATGCTACTCTCTTCTGCCTTTCTTTCTTTTTTAATGCATTTTATTGAAATATAATTTATGTACAGTGAAATACACAAACCTAAAGTGACATA